CGTGGGCCTTGGGCGCAGCAGCGTTGGCCCAACGACGATGCCCAGGTTGCTCGAGGTCATCTTGTTGTCCTGTTCCACTTCCACAATCCTGAGGAGGAGGAGGAAGTCATGAGAGCGAGCAGGGAGGAGGGGCGGGTGGCCAGGCTGGGGGAGGCGCTGGGGTGGGAGGGGCTGGCTCTACCTCCCTGTGCCAGGGCAGGGCTGGGCTGGCACTGCCGGCCCCTGTGCCTACCTTCCTGCTCCAGGGAAGACAGGGAAGATGCCCCAGCCCCCGTGGGGCTCTGGACCTGCCCTTCTCACCTTCTCAGGTGCTGCAGGAGGTACTGGAGCGTGGCCCTGTTCTCCCAGGGAAGCTCCTTCAGCAGCTCCTTCAGCTTCAGCACCAGGTTCGCCACCACCTTGTCCGTGTCGGCTCCCTTGTCCACCAGCTCAGGGCCACCTTTCCCGCTCTTGCCCTTGGCCTCGCCGCCCTGGAGGCTCTCCTTGGCCAGGCCCATCAGCTCGTTGTACATGCGGAAGGGCATAACGGGCTCCGGCAACTGCAAGCAAGAGCAGGGAGATGGGTGCTGGGGAGCCGCCGGGTCCCTGAGACCGAGACCTGCCCGGTGCCGCTGAGCCAAGGAAACCGGGGGCCTTTCTACAGCAAGGAAGCACCCCCAAGCTACGCGGGAGGCAATGCTTATTTATCCATCTCCTGAAGGTGTAAATCCAGCCTTGCCCATCCTAGCCAACTGGTACCTGCGAAGTTCAAGCAGAAAGCAGCCTTTGATGGACCCGTGGGTGCTCTCTGCTGGACACGTCCCCCCGGGTCAGGGTTAGGGGATTCTCTCTTTTTTTTCCCTAGAAGGGCCCTGGGCGTCGCCAGCTCCTTGGCTCAGTTACAGCCGGGCGGCTGTCCGTCCACTTCGGGTTTATGTACCTTTATCCTGCTACGCCCAGACGCGTTTCCGGGCTCTCCCCCGTGCTGGAGGCCGACCCTCCCGTGGGTCGAACATCTGGGCGGTCGCCCAGTTCTCCACTAACGAGGCGCGTGTAACCCTCCAAACGCCGCTCGGTGTTATCTGCAGCTGGAACACAGCTCCCGCGTCCCTCGCTTGGCTGCCTTGGCCGGAGATCTGCCCCTGCCTTCCCCCCCGCTGTCCCCTTGGGGGGGATGCTCTTCAGACCGGGAGCGGTGCCTGATGCGCGAGCGAGCCGATCTGGTGCCCAGCATCTCACCGAGGAAGGCTCTGGCTAATTATTAGAAAACAGCTTTGGATTTGTGCAGCTTCTCGGGAGCCGTGGGCTGCAAGTGGCATGTGTGTGAGGTGCCCTGGCGAATCTGTCCCCCGCCGGGAGCTCGTCGTGCGCCCTTCCGAGCCAAGGGGCTAGCGGCACGCTCAGCGGCGGGAACGCAGCCCGGGTGCAAGCAGGGTAATAGAAGGAAACAGCTTTCAGCTCTTTCTATGCTGAGCATCTGCTTGCTTCTCCGCATCGGTGCAGAAAAGTCTCCTAGCTTTAAAAAAAGTACTTTGGCTGGTCTTGTTTAACCCTTTAAGTTCTGTTGCCAGCAGAGGTAGTGAATTCGTGTTAAAGGGTTTATATCTTTACAAAAAAAAGCCTCTCAGCCTGGCAGGGGCTGTGACTCAATTCAGGCCGTGGCAGTCCTGAGGAGGAGGAGGAGGAGAAGGCATCTCCCCTTGGGGACCAGCTCTCTGCCCAGCTCTGTCTCGTGGCCAGCTGGAAGAGCGAAGGTGTAATCCTGGACTTGCAGCTTACATTTTTGGAGAACAAATGTCCATCAAAAAACCCCTCAGAGAGATGGGGCAATGCTCGGGGGCCTGCAGCCAGGAAAGCCGGTCCCCCTGAGCCTGCTCACAGCCTGCGGGGTGCTCTTTGCGCAGCTCCTGCCAAGTGGAAAAATGCCCATAAATACAAACAGCGACGCAAGCCTGGTCAGCCGAGCCGGGAGGGGCACGTCGCTGCTCGAGCCCTGGGCGCCTTAGAAGTGCTGAGGCAGGGAATTCATCGCTGGACGTCGGGTGCCTGGTATGGTCAGGTACAAATGGTCGACGTACCTCGCACGGCCTGGCAAACGGCGCAGCCACGGCCCTAAAGCCGGAGCCGGCTCCGTGCGAGATGGTGCAGGTGGCTTCTACCCGGCTATGCCGAACCCAGGGCTCCTCTGGCCGCGTTGTCCCTTCCTGGCGAGCTGTTCCCCAGGCTGGCAGAGCCAGCCTGCACGCGTGCGGTGCTTGGCATTGTCCGTCTGTCCGTGCAGTGCCCGTGCCTTGCAGCAGTGCCCTGCTCCTGCCCGCTGTTGGGAACTCTCCCTGTGTCACCGCCTGGCAGCCTCGTCTCCCCTCCCAGCCGCAGCCGGCGAGGGGGATCAGATCCTTTGACTCTTCCTGTCTTGATTTCTGCCATAGAGGCGTAGGATTAGGGAGCACAGCAAAAATGAAGCCTGTGACCTGGCACGGGTACGGCAAAGCCCTGGGTTCCTTCCCAGTCCAGAACAACAAGCGAAGGGTCTGCCCTGCTTCAGCTCCTTCCCAAGGAACGTGCTCCGTGCGCCGCTGGGTTGAGCGGGGGCTCCCAGCAGCCGAGGCAGACTGACGGGATTTT